AGTAGTAGTAGTTAGTTAGTAGAAGAGAGAGAGAGAGAGAGAGAGAGAGAGGAAGAGGAAGATGGGGACTGAAGAGCCAAATGAAACGGCAGGGATGGTAATTGTGCGGTGAAAAAATAATCAGCTGGCGCAGCACGTAGAGCGTAACCGTAAGTGCGGCTGTTCTCATTGTTGTCCCGCTACTACGAGACCCCACGAAGGGTGACAAGCTCACAAAAGGGGCTGCTGGACCCATAGAAACGTGATGGGAGGTAGTTCGTGCGGGAGGGTGCCACCGTTGCGATAAAATTCTATAGTGCTCCGGAAAAATATGAGTGACTCGACGGCTAGGAACTGATCGGACAAAGGATTCATCGTTGTCATTGTTGTTGTTAAAATCCCTTTTTCAATCAATATTTTTTGAACCCTATATACTATCATTATACGTATACGTGAAATATATTCGATTTTTGATGAATCCGTGGACGAAAATCCTCGTGGATTTTGGATAATTTTTAATCCACGAAATTTTTCAACAATAAAGATAGATTATTATTATTAGACATCTCGTCAGAACAGTTTGAATTTTTAAAATTCAAACGCAACATAATTGAAAATTCGGTCTGTTCCGAGAAAAGACTCGTGCGAAGGGGAAGTGACTCCAGAAGACCGACCCTTTGTTGTTAGCACTTTACGTGTAAAACTAAAGAAAAAAAAAAAAAAATAGGAGAGGAAAGAGGGAGTCTGGAGTAAAAGGAGAGTCTCTTTTCGCACATCCCTCATGAGAAACAATAATGTCGCGTACACTTCCACTCCTTCTGGATGTCGTCTACCCTCTTCTCGTCTTTGTTCGTCTGGCGTTTTTTTCGAGTACTCGTCCTTCTATCCACGGCCACCTACACACTACTTTGCTTCAGCCACTGATCATGAAAAGAATTGCACGCGAATAGCGAGAATCCGTGTCTCGCTGGAAAATTGAAGAAACGAGAAAAGTTTTGTTGCTTGTTTCGCTCACCCTTCCATATTGTCGCGTGGAACGACAAAATGATGAAACTTCAAACAATATAAATTGTTCGGTTCGCTTGTCAATTAAAAAAAAAAAAAAAGAAAAGAAAAAGATAATAAATATAAGTGGAAAAATATCATTTAATTACGCCATATTTAATATGACGTCAAAAACTTGAAGAAGCAGGGGAGAGAGATAGAGAAAAATTGGAAAAAACTCACCGGAATGTAGCCGTCGGGTTGAGGTCTCTCGTTTTTGTCCCTGAAGAAAATTGCTTAGTTACAATCAAGCAGCCACGTGTTTCGGAATTCACGTTCGATTATCGACATGAAACGTACCGATGTCGTCGTTGTATCACAGGTGTCTGCGGAGTGCTGTCATGGATGATCACTTGAGTGGCGTCGATCTCTTCGCATTCTGAACTTTCTTCTCCCGAATCTACATAAATAACAATATCAAAATGTGAAATGCCAATAATATTCTACCTCTAAGTGCAGCATCTTATTTTATTTCGTACTTTTAATTGAAAATAATAATAATAATAATAATAATAATCAACATTAATGTAAACGATACGATATATTGAAATACGAATATACGAGTATTATTTCAACCACTCAAGATTGCAATATCTTAATCATCATAAAATTTTATTGTCTACATATTTTCTAACGTCACACAATTTTATTAATGAAAGTAGTATGTAATGGAACTACGAATTACAAGATTAAACGACAAATAAACACGTATCTACAAATTATTAATGAAATTTCATCTATTTCCTAGAAGAACATAATTGACTCATTTCTCCAACACATTAGTTACATATTATTAGAGTTACGGTTATGGTTCGTTATATCCCAAACTTTTCTTTCATCAAAGGAATTTAGAATCACTAAAATCCGTTCATACGAATTACACTCTAATCCTATCAGCTCCCCTTTCGACTATTCTAAGCGCGTACCGACGCTCTATTCAGCGCTCATCCGTACATCGATTTCTGAAAGGAACGAATGCTATTGATCCTCTTCAAAGAGGCACCGCACAATCCTCTCTGTTAACAATCCTAATCTGAAACTATTCTAAACCCGATATTGATCGCATCCGTATGCGCAATCGTGATCGATTCTAAATCTCTTTACACTTTACTCAACTCACCCTCGTCTATGCGTTCGCGTTTACGGATACGAGACAGGACCGGGCTTGGGCACAAGGTGGCCGTGTCTCCCAACAGATCGTCGATATTGGTGTGCTGACCGATGAACAACGGTAACGTGGAAGGACGTTTCTTTGGCGATGATCTTCTGGATGTTGGCTGCACGTTGTCGTAAGGCGAGTCTCGTCCGCCATAATTGTCCGGCGGATCGGGAGGATTTTCCACCTGCGAACAAGACTTACTTGTAGTGAAATGAAATAAAATTTCAATTTGTGTAGTTCTAGAACGTATCTTTACTTATCCCGGCTGACAAATTGATTTTATTTTACTCGGGAAACGATGGATATAAGTTAGTCCTTTTGTTTTAAGGAGAGATTGTAGATGGGTTACGTGGAAGGAAGCGGTTGTCTGTAATTGATGAAACTTTTGCGATTTAGTATTTAGTAGTAGAGAAAATACTAGCTACAAGAAATTGTTGCGAAATACTTGACATTGAAGAAAGCATAAACAATAATTAACAAGTTTATTTGATATTGAATGAGAATAGGCAAGAGAAATTGCTTGGATTTAACTGCGGATTTTTACATAGCTAAAACAATTATTTTCAAATATTCAATTAATGGAAAATATGCGTATCGTTTATAAAATGTCAATAATTTTGTTATGTAAATTTTATATAAAATTTGTATTGTAATATTATATAAAAATGCTAAATCTTTCTTCTTGATTGTTCTTTTAATAAAATAGAATAAATAAGACACTCGATATTTTCTAGTAGCAACATCGTAATCCGAATACGATTATTCATCGCTCAATTCGAATTGATAATCTTAATTTATTTAAAATTATTCAATAATTATAAAAAAAAAAATTAATGTCCCGAGAGAAAAATATAGAATATATTCGACGATATATCGTTTACGTAAATTACGCAAAATTTGTATTTGCATAAAAATCCTCAGTCCATAATCTAATATGCATAAAACGACTTTAAACGTAATAAACGTGACAACAAAGTTTACACGTTCCCCAGCTTAGAACCTTTTAAGGTAACCACTCGATTACTTAAGAGAGGACTTATTAATTAAGTTAAAGACTTGCCACAAAAGCAACTTTATTCTCTCTCTCCGATGTCAAGTACGCGAGGTTAAAGATTTACGACGCAGGGTATTAACAGGTACCTATATAGCCTCGTCAGTTAGGGGCCGTTAAATGAATAATGCACGATATATGATCACTTTACCCCTTCGGGACTGGCACGATCCCCGAGTGGCTCGTCAGCCGGAGGTGGCGGAAACTCGATAGGGAATCTAGAGAGGCTTCTCTTATATATCTCAGGTTCAGGGTTAACACCGATATCGATTCTCTCGAACGATTCGGACGAGTCCGAGGTACTGTTCGACGTTTCCACAGGAATCTTGACTACACCGTCAGGAACGTTCGACGTGCTGTCCATCCACCATGGTTTCTCACCCGACTCAATGTGCCTGACCTTGTTTCCACCTCTGCCGTACGGCTGGCTGTCGTCCACCTCGTCGTTGTAAGTATTACCGTTTGACGTAGGAGTCGTAGGAATGACTTCGACTCCTTCAGGTACGTTTTCAGGATTGTCGCTCATCCACCACGCTTGCTCCCCGGACTGTTGATGTCTCAATCGATTTCTTCGCTCGTTCGATCGAGTACTGCAACGGCTCGACTCTCGTTTCGAAATAGATATCACGGACGACGATTGTTTCTTCGACTCGTCCGACGGCGCAGCGTCGCTCGAGCTCAACCACCATGCCCTTTCCTCCGAATCTTGCCTCCACACAGCCGTGCGCGACGGTTTCTTGACCTCCTCCGAGAAAGCACTGTCATTTCCATCCAACCAACGAGTCCTGTCCTCCGAATCGTGCCTCGAAACTACCGAGGACGATTGCCTCTTCGTTTCCTCCGAGGGAGCGCTATCGTTCGAATCTAACCACCAACCCTTCTCCCCTGATTCTTGTCTCGAAATCGTCGCCGACTGCTTCCTCGCGTCCTCCGATGCCCCGCTGTCGTTCGAGTCTAACCACCAGCCTCGCTCCTCCGATTCTTGTCTCCACACTTTGTATTTAAATTTGCCTGGGAACATATAATTAAGGGGAGCGGTTTATCTATGCGGATCGTGGTAATTTACGTTCTTCTTGGGAAGAACGAGGGAAGAATTTTTGTTAAACTGATCCAGGGAGGATAATTAAGCGTCTTGCGCCATTAAATCATTAGTAATTTATGATGTTTGCGAATAACAGAAGATACAAATCTGACAATTATCTCCCAAAAATGTAAATCAATCCTACTCGCTTTACATTTTCTTTCTTTTTTTTTTTTTTGTATAAGTATGCATCACGTCAATTTAAAGCAAAAACTTTTACTCGTCGACTTACCATCGTCAGGTAAGGTACTACTGACGGTCGTTTCTTGACTAATATCGTCGTTGCACAGGCTTCCCGTTTCGACACCTTCAGGAACGTTTTCGGAGTTCGGATCCATCCACCAAGGCTGTTCCCCGGAAAAATTTCGTCTGATCCTAGCTTGACACGACTGTCTCCTGTCCTCGTTCTTCTCCGAGTTCGTGAAACTGAAACTTTTCGACAGACTTCTCGATAGAGACGCCGTTGTCCCGTTCTGCTCCGACTTTTTCACGTCCGCGTTTTCCTCGTTCGAATCTGGCCAACCGGCCGATTTGCCCGACTCGCTGGAATCTTGGTGCTTATTCTTGAAAAGATTCGTGACCGGCGCGAGGGCTCTCATCAGAAACGATTTAGCCTCCTCGGTTTTCCCCGAACTCCTCGATCTCGGGCTGGACGGTGGTCTCGGCGGTTTATCCATGGTCAGTGACATTTCGTCGGTGGACGAAGCCAACACGCTCGTCCTCGACGATCCAGCGCTCATCTTCCCTTTCTTCTCGCAGAAAGGGGACTTGGACGTTCTCCTCTTGCGTGGCCTCGATCCGGGCCTCGACTCTTTATCGTCCTCCTCTTCCTCGCTGCTCGACGAATTCGAGGAATCCTCGCTGTTCGCGCTCGAACTCGAGCTTCCCTCTCGCTTGCTCCTCTTCCCCGATGGCGATCTCGAGCGACTCCCCGATTTTTCGGCCACGCTCGAAGGCCCACTGCTCGACTCGCTCTTTCTATTCACACTCTTGGAGGGCGAGGATGACGGTAGCCTCAGCCTCGATCTGTTCGATTTCACAGAGGCGGAGCTGGATTCGGAAGGAACGGCCGGTCGGTGGATGTTCGGTTCGGAGTTCGGTTCGGATTGCGAATCTTGAGAGCTGACGGACATGCTACGCTCGTTCTTCTTCTTTCTGCTGTACTTGGACTGCGAGGGGTCCCCGTTCTCCATGTTCAACGTCGACTTCCGGAAGTCTTTGTTCACGTACTTGGGCTGCACGATGCCCTTGGACCCGGACGCCGACGCGACGTCGCTCTTCGGCACAGGTGGTTTGCCACGAGCATCCGGCGAACCGCCTTGTCTCAGATTCACTGAGGAAACGCTCGACACGGACGACTTCCCCGGCGATGGCGGCGGCGTCGCCTTTATTTTTGCACCCTGACTCGTCACCGAACTGGCTGACGACGATTTCGACCTGCCAATTGGCACATTTACAGCGGATCCTTCCGTAGAGTCGGTTCTCGTCGTTTGGCGGGACAGATTTTTCGCCGAGCCGCTGCGTGATTGCGGTGTCGTCGATCTGCTCTGCGACGAATTACTGTTTTATCGGGAAAAATGACAAGTACGTGAGAAAATGTATCGATTATGGGGGAGAGATGTCGAAGAAACGAAAATTGATCACTCAAAGTTGATATAAGAAATAAATGCTTATGCTAAAGTTTGTTTCTGGAACAATTTGGTTTCAAAAAAATGATTGTAATTATATTTTGATTTTTATCGTCTTTCCGATTATCAGTTTGAGTGATCGATTAAATTTCGATTATTCTTCTTCCATTAAAAATACAAAATATAAAATGTTTAAAAAAGTTTAAACATTTTACTTTCCTATTGATTCTTTTATCTCGTTAACAAAAACAATAAAAAAAACACGAGCTATAACGCGATTTTAAAAATATTTAAAGAAAATAACGAAAATATCTGTTTCGTAAAATTGAGCTGCTACCTTTGAAGAGAATCTTTCGCAGGTGAAACACTATCACTTTTAGACGTAGAGGCTTCTTTACTCTGTTCCTGACAATGTCCCTCGACTATTCTAGACGAGTCATCGAGTTTCGATAATGAGCTAGCGTCAGATTTAGGCGTCGAACTCCTCCTTTCCCGCAGTCCATCCGACTTGCTCGACGAATTCGACGACGATTTCGCAATCTTGCTTTCGTTCTTCGCCGCGATACGACCTAATCTCGGTATCGAAGGTCTCTTCTGACTATTATTCTCGCTCTTCGACGTCGAACTTTCCCTGCTACTTTGCTGTTCGTCGCTTTTCGAAACGCTCTCTCGAGAATCCGATGACTTAGCGAGAACACCATGTTGTTGCGGCGAATCCTCTCTCTTCAAGATCGAAGGGCTCGCCAAGCCTTTCCTTTCACTCTTACCAACTGTGCACGCACGACTCTCACCATTATTCGCTTTAACCTCCATCTGATCCCTTTGATTTGAATTTCCTTGTTGCTCGTTGCTCGTTTTCGAATCCGTTTTCCCGAAGCTCAAACCGCCGAATACTTTCTGCTCGTTTTGATTTCTATTCCCATGAATTTCTTGACTAGAACTAGGCGACACCTTCGAAGAAGAAGAAGAATCGTTCCTCGAGGCGTCGTTCGATCTGGGGAACGCGAAGCTATTCACCCTCGAATTGGTCGCGTTACTTCCGTTGAATCCTCTCGCGTAAACGCCACTTCCGCTCGAATTCGACGAGAATTTGTCGAGATACGAGGACCACGGTGCCCCTGAGATTCGCCCTCCTCCTCCAAATCGAGAGAACCTCGAACCATCCTCCGATCTCTCGCTCTGAACCTCTTGATCCTTTGTCTCCATTTTCTTTCGAACCCGACTCACTTCTTTCTGATTCGCGATACCTATGTCGGCTCTTCTGCTCCTCACGAAGGACGAAGAAGCCGGAAGAGTCGGTGATGTACCCCTTGTAACCATCGTAACGGTCTCATTGTCTTTCAGTCTGTTCTCGAGTTTCGATTCTTCCGATTTCGCGTATATCTCTTGCGTCGTTTCTTTCGCTTTCGCGGCTTCCTCGTCCTTCAAATTCGCCGGCATAGGCTTACTGCCTGAAGTTCGGAACCTGTCCGATCCGGAGTAGCTTATAGCTGCCGGAACTCGGTCGTTGTTGCTTCTCGATGAAAAGAATCTGCTACCAGCTGTCGAGCCGAATCTCGAGGAGATTGGCGCCGAGCTCGATTCGGAGGCACCTGAAAACGTTTCGAGAATCGAGTAAGTTATAGTTTTAGATATTTTACTCATATCATTTCAAGCATATGAAAGTTTTTAGTTGTAATTAAATGATTTTTTTAGTAATTATATTTGTTCTCTGATTCGTAAGAAATGATATGGCTGCTTGATGATAATAAAATTCGTAGAAATCGAATTTTGTCAAAATATGTTCTTATATGGTCTCAGGTATGTTAAAGAAATTGTAAAAATTTCTTTAAGTAATATTTATAGCTATAAATTAAGCTTAAAGTGATGTGATGATCGGAGAATAGAAAATATTTTGAATATATTTGAACAAAATCTTCTGTAAGAGAAACAATTATATTTACTATTATCGATCATATCAAAAATTAAGTCTGCACTATTTACATCTTTTTATAATACCTATTTATTGATATGTTTTAAATTTGTTCTACTTGTTGTCTCGTGAAACAATCTTCTTATTACAAAGAAGATTACCATTAAAAATAAAATAATTTGTAATAATTTATTACTGATATATATCATTCTATATGATATTAAAAATGGTAATATATTATATTTGTAATAATTATTTATAAGGATAAATTTGTGATAAATTCATCTTTCGATATCAGATAAAATGCAATAATGTAATAACAGGATATAATAATAAGTACAATAGTAGGATTGTTAAACGACAGAATTTATCTTCCATTGTGATCTGGAAGGGTAAATTCATTATGGAACAAATTATAGTGCTATTTCCCGCGAGACACATTGCTTTCAAGTGTGAAAATTTATAGCTATAAATATCACGTGGAAAGCTTCTTAGGTATACTGTTCTACGATTCTCCGCATATCTATGGGAACTATCGTCTAACATAGTATTACAGACGTATAAATTTAAAATTCCTTTAAAGAAATATTATTTGACAACTGAAATACAATAAGATTAAAGATATTGAGAATAAATGAAATATCAATGATTTCCTTACTCTTTTCGTATAATAATATTTCAAATATTAAAAGAAAAAGAGAGAGAAAGAAAATATTGAAAATACAAAAAATATCAATTGAATTTACGAAATTATTACGAAAAACAATTTAAACACCGAATAATACAAAAACCAAAATTCTTCTTTAACTTTCAAAGAATAAATCAATAATGAATAAAATTTCACTTCACAAATTATTTCATGATATAATTTTCGTTTTTTTTAACTTTTGAAAATGAAATAGCGATTATATAATGAAAATTAAATTATTCGAAAAGTTTATTTTTAACAAAATAAAAGGAAAAAGAAGATTCACTCACTAGAAGTGGCACTGGATCGACCGTAGGAGGGGGCTCTCGTGTACATTCTGAACGAGTTCGATTTTCCAACGTTGATTTCCGGGCTTGGCTCGCGAGAATTCCTACCCGAGTTAGGCCGTAATCCACGGTACGAAACCGGCGGATGATCGGCCCTCTCTTTCTTCTCGATCCTACTCTCGTTTCCATAAGTTCGAGCCAAGCTCGATCCGGGATACGTGTTGGATCCGTATCGCGATACCACGTCGGGCTCTCTGCTCTTCTCGCGGGAAGTGGCACGGTTATATCTGTCCAAAACGGAGGCGGGCCTCTCTGAAGTTTTAGTAGCTGGAAACGAGTACTTCTCGAACAGGGAGGATCTGCTGCTCGATAATGGACTTTTCGCCCCCACGTCCTCCGTCGACGACCTACTCGGGTGAAGTCTACCTTTGTCGGCGTCTTTATTACCTGAAATCGCAATATGCCGTGACTTTTGTATCTCTTACTGTTAAAATCTTTTCTCTGTTAAAATCTTCAATTTTTATATTTGGAATATATATGTGCGTTATCTGGAATCGTGTTATACAGTGAGTATTATTTTATTAACAAATTTTTTAATTTAATTAATCGAAATGTAAAAAAAAAAATTTGTTCCGTAACTAAATATTCTATTTTAAATAAATCTCATAAGAGATTAATTTGCTAATATCACAAATATTTAATAACTTTTTAAAAATTCTTGATCTCGTAAAATAACTCGATTTCGATTATAATTTATATCCATTCGATATTTCTTCCTTTCTTCCTTTCTTTCCAATGCTATAGGCAAATACTAAAACCAATACCACGTACACAAACAGTGAAAACAACTTACTGGGATATTTAAAACTAGATTTCTCCTCGTGCTTGTCTTTCTTCAGGAACGCATTCCCGAATCCGGAAACCCTCTCCTTGGCAGGCAATCGGGTGGAACCGGAACCGACGGTCGAGTAGCTGTTCCTGCAACTCGGAAGGCCGCTTCCTCCCGAGGTCGTCGTCCTCCCGAAACCACTGGCGCCGATTCCAACGTTGACTCTGGATCGGTAGGCGCCACTGTCACCCTGGAAATCGGTGAATCAGTTAGCTGGTCGATCGGACAACATTTATCCCCTGCACCGTTACGCGGGATCGATCGAAGGTGATCGAAAAGCGGGCCGTGTGCCGGAAACGTCGATCGGCTCGGGTTCCACGAGCCGCGGAACAATCGGATTGCGGCGAACTCACCGAGCAAAATTACCGATCGAGATTGCCCGATTTCTTTTTTTCCAAGGCAGATTTATGCGTGGCCGCTCGTCGCCGCGATAGAATCGCGTGTCACCGAACGTTTTATTGGTGAAATGTGGCATCGATTACGCGACCGGTAAGCCGTGCGGTGAATGACAATGGAGCATTGTGCGTAACCGGGAACAATTTTTCTCTCGAGAGAAGGCGGAAGAAAGTACAGCGTTCGAGGAAAATTTTACTTTGTAATGGTACATGATTCGTTTCTAATTCCATTCGAGTGATGTTTTTTTTTTTTTTTGTATCATAAAATATAAAGATATAAATTGATGCGATATGCCGTAAGATATGTATAAATATATTTTGATAATTTCTAAATCTATAATTTAATTTTTGAAAAATATAGATATAGATATCTCGTAAGAAAAAAGTTTTCTTGTATTGAATAATTTAATAAAATAAAAATATTTCCTTTATTTAAATATTCTTATAATATAAAATGAAGCACATTGTTTACGAAATTAATAAACTTTCCGTCTGGAAATAATGTAAATATAATGTATATTAGTTTCTCTCTCAATTGTTATTATACAATTTAAATAATAATTACATAAATTTTCATAGATCATATTATTCACAGGAAAATATATGAATCTAAAGTTCAATTTCAATGAACAATAGTTAAAAATACTCTAATTGCTCTAATTGCAAATATATAATAAAGATAAGAGATTATATGAGAAGACAAAACATCTTTATAATGGTTAATATGCATCACTCACAAATGGTCTAGAAATGAAAATTCGTACAATTAACATAATTTTGGCGAATTGCCTCAAGCTTGAAATAGACGGCCCGACCTGACCGGGAGGAATAACCTTCCTGTTTCTGTATAACGGGTGAAACGAGAAATGCATCCATTTCTTTCACTCGAGCTCTGTACCTACGTTATTATAAATGAAATACCTTTATTTTCTTAAAATAATCAATATTGATAATTTAAAAATTGTACAACTTACTCGATCTGATGAAAAAAGCTGTAAAGATGTAAAAGATGGGTATTTAATTCTAAATAATTGCCAAGATAAGAATTTATTGTAAAAAGTCATATTTCTAACACATATATAATTTTTCATTACACATTATCTTCGGATTAATTGTAAAATAATATACAATTTTAAATAAAAATACTTTATGATCTATCTTTAAAGTTCCATTTTTTATAAGCGTTTCGTATCGAATTCCACGTTTTAATAATCACGTGTTAATAATCATCTACACGAATCGTGTCGCATCCACCGAGTTCAAAGAAAATAATTTTCCACGATAAAATCCCCTTGCTGTCTTTACATCTCGAAAAGTTCATATTACATAGACGATGTACCACGTTCTTTACCACGTTCACGAACGTTCGTTGAACAAAGGTTTCTAAACGTTGCCAGAAAATTAGTTTCCGCAATTAATTATCCCTTGTCTTTGAACTCACACGTGTTTGTTTATTTTTTCCATTGTTCATAACTCCATCGTGATTCCTTTGCGCCAACTCGGACCAAGCCAAGCTTACACGACACCAACCACGCGATCATAATTTCAATTTAAATTCAATTACATTCTAAAGCTCCGGCATCTTGCGTCCTATCGCGTCCAGATGAGATCCCTCCTCTGGAAGGGAGGAGAGGACTTCGTGCTCCAACTTTCAAAAAGTGCCGTTCGTTATTATGCTAATGCTATTCGGGTGGAGGTGATAATGGAATTAAAATGGACGCCCCTTAAGACCGCTAAAACGATTCTTTTCAGCGGAAGCGTCGAAAGCGGCCGGAAACGATAACTCCTTTCGATTCTTTTTTTTTATATCTGCTCTATTATCGCGGCTCTTTCACCTGAAAAATCTTGCTCTGTCGTTGCTAATATTGTGCTCCAAGGTCTGTTCGTGATTGTTGTAGATCTCGTAGTTTGTTGAATTAAAGCATTAAAATATGATCCATTTGTCACTGGATGAAATGTAGGGCATTTCGTTTATCTTGAATTCTTTATATGGTATAATATTGTACGATAAACGAGAATCCTTTGTCTTTTTTCTATGACATCATATCATTTCAATTAAATATAATAAAATAATAAATCCTCAATATTAGATAATTAGCTTATTAATTTTTAAATTAATTGAAACGCGTCGATAAAATTACTTTCGAAATATATTTTAATTTTTATAAGCGGATATTTTTAAAAGCGGATATTTAACGATTCCAAAAAATACGCAATTTAATCGGCATTTCTCATCAAATTAATCAAAACTTTCAAGATGGTGCATCGATTTTCTACCCGCCATCAATTCATTACTTATCTTAAAATGCTGGTCGGCTAAGTGAAGTTCCAGGCTGCGCTTTGATGCCAAACTTCGATATTAGTTCAAGAAGTCACCATAAACATTTTAGTAAATGGTCTTTGGCTAAATTCAGAAGGAGAACGTTTGCCAAGAACGAGAACCTGTTAAGGCATCCATTATATAGGCTTTATCAGTCGTTTAAAATCGTGTTGTAAATTGTGAGCACGCGAAATATTTTTTCCACAATTTTTGTAATCGGCTGTGGAAATTTTGTAATACGTTTATTTTTTTTTTCTCGACAAATGTTTACAATGCATTAAAATCTCTTCCCACTAAAATAAGCTTGTGATTTCACTTTTTTTCGTAATAGTGTTATACTAAAAAATCTTGTAAATATGTTAGTACATTAAATATATGATTGTTCTGAAAAATGAAAGAAAAAATAGTTTTTTGGAAAAATTAATCTGAATATTGCCAATATAATTTTATATTGGTAATAATTTAAAGAAAATACAGGAAATATTGAACGTAATTTGTGCAAAAGAAAAATTAGACAATCTTTCGTTAGAACTATGACGTTGTTAGAACTATATATATGTAGCGCAGATATGACAAACAAAGTTAAATAGAGGATGATGTAATGTTTAATATGATGAATACGATAATATAATGTATTGTAACGAAATATTTGTTGTATGAAGGATAGAGAGAGAGAGAGAGAGAGAGAGAGAGAGAGAGAGAGAGAGAGAGAGAGAGAGAGAGAGAGAGAGAGAGTAGA